CCTGTAGGCTTTTTAATTGCCGTAGATTTTGAAAAGGCTTTCGATTGCATTTACCATAAACTTTTATTTAAAGCTTTGGAACAGTTTGGGTTTGGTAAAGTTTTGTGTTCTTGGGTTAAAACCCTCTACACTAATGTTAGCAGTTGCGTGATGAACGGGGGACACTCAACAGGATATTTTGGAATTAATAGAGGGGTAAGACAAGGCGACCCCCTATCTCCATATTTATTTGTAATAGTTATCGAATTACTAGCTCGTTATATTAGGAAAGATGAAAGCATTAAAGGGGTAGGATTCGGGAATAAAGAAATAAAGCAAGTTTTGTATGCAGATGATATTACATTGTTTTTAAAAGATATGGATTCAATTAATAAAGTGAAGAAAGTTTTCAAAAACTTTGAAAAAATAAGTGGATTGAAGATAAATATGGATAAGACAAATTTTATGTGGCTAGGAGAGGAAAGTGATAGGCCGGGTTTACCTTTTTTGGACATAGGGTACAACATATAAAGATCCTAGGGGTATATTTCGCACGTCATTCCAAAATAAAAGATGATTTGAACTATAAGGAAATTTTGAGCAAAATCAAAAGACTAATTGGTTGGTGGAAGCAACGAGATTTAACGATGTTTGGCAAAATTAAATTGTTGAAGATATATGTATTTTCAAAACTAAATTATGTTTCGTCTCTTATGACAGTCCCACAAAACATTTTTGAAGAAATCGAAAAGATTTCTTTTAATTTTATTTGGGGAGGGAGAGACAGAATAAAACGGAAAATATTATATCAAGATTACTGCGCTGGGGGACTCAGAGTAACGAATTTTAAGATATTTATCAAGACTCAGAGAATAATGTGGATCAAACGGTTGCTCTATGGAAAAAAGTATTCAGGTTGGAAAGTAACCTTTGACCACTTTTTCAGATCACTGGGGGGTCGAATTATATTTCTTTGTACTTATGATATAAATAAAATGGACTTGTAAAGACATGTTGAAGGCATGGCAAAAATTAGATAAATGCAGACACTTTGGAGAAAATAAGAATAATCCGATTATATTTAGCAATAAGTGTATATGTCTCAGCAATAAAACATTTTTTGATGTCGAACTATTTCAGAAAAGTATACTTCAAGCATCAAATATAATTGTCAGAGGTCATTTAAAACCGATCTTACATTTTTTAAATTTGGGTTTTGCAACTAAAAGCTTGCTTAGAATTCAAAAGATCTTTTCAGCAATCAGAAACGAATGGATACAAAGTGATTTTATGGAAGTAGACACTGAACATTTTGAAATAGAATTGATGATATTTGGACGTTTACAGAAACTATGTGATATAAAATCTAGGCGGTTATATGATTACTTCATTGAAGACCTTCAAAAAGAGTATACATTACATGTTACAGATGGCAACTGTCAATTTGATCTTGGAATGAAGGAGTTGAAAGAAACATTCACGAGGATGAAAGGTGCAATGCTTTGTAATAAACATAGAGAGTTTCAATACAAACAATTACAAGGGGCTGTATATACGAAAAGAGAGATCTTTAAATTTGGTTTTGAGTCAGACCATTTTTGTTCCTTTTGTAAACTAGAAGTAGAGACATACCAACATTTATTTTTGGATTGTCTTAAAGTTAAAAGATTATGGCAGGAGGTAACTCAAAAGTTTCATTTAATCGAAATTGACATTGATGATTGGAAACCCATATTTATGGGAATATCCGGCAATACTACTAGAATATTTGTAATAAATTGTATCATATTTTTAGTAAAGTATATCATTTTTATTTCTAGAAAAGAAGGAACTTTGCCATCTGTACAGAAAACATTATTATGCTTAAAAATTACAGAGACGAGGAATACAAAATAGCCTTCAAAAAGGGGAAACTGGGGATGCACTTACAGAAATGGGAACAAATCGATGCATTTTTACCTTAATGGATGTGGGTATTATGTGGGTATTATTATTATTATTAGTATTATTAATTCTCTCTCGTGTACAGGTGGACAAACCGGAACAGGTTGCATGCAACGTGTGTGTCGGCGTGAAGGGGGTGTGAGATGGGTGGGCTAGGGGGGGGGGGGGGGTGAAGAGTTTGTTCAAGTTCAAGTTCAAGTTCGTTTATTTATTTCATTTCCATAAAAAACACAGCAAATGCAAATAAACATACAAGTATATAGACATACAAGGAATGGTCAATTATTACAATAGTTTAAAATGAAATTGGAGAACATAGGAAAGGCCCATGGTGGCTTTGTATAAAAAGTTCCCCGAATATTATAATTTATATTATTTATATTATTGAGCATATATGAATTCGAGATATCACAAAATACAGCGATAAACACAAAATACAGCGATAAACACAAAATACAGCAATAAATACAATATATAGACAAAAAACTACAAACATATGTATGAAATAATCTAAAATTGGAGGCGGGGGGGGGGGGGGGGGCAAAAAGGTTTGGAAGGTAAATTTAACGGTACTCAGAATAAAAGGTCTGTTTCATTTTTGTTTTAAATATTGAACTGTTTTTATAAAAGCGGAGGACTTGAGGAAGAGTGTTCCATATGTTTGGCAAAGTATTTCTTACTGATTTTTTAGAAAATGAACTTTTTACTTTCCATAAATGAAACGTGTTTGTGTGGTGTGAGTTGAGGGAACAGGTTGCATGCAGTGTGTGTTTGTGTTTGTATGGTTGTTTATGTGTGTGAAAGGGGGTGTGGTGTGGGTGGGCTAGAGGGGGGGGGGGTGAGAGTGTTGTGATAGGATGGTAATATGTAACTTTAAACCTTCCTCTACTGTTATTTTGATTATACACTGTTACATGCAAGACTTTCTTCTTTTTTTCCCCTTTTTTTTCCTTCTATGTTCATTGATTAATGTAACTTATGAAATGTCTTGTATCAAAGATCTTGTTTTATATTGCTTATCTTGATAATTTCTTGCTATGTAAATTTCTTGCTATGTGAAATTATGAGGAAGGAAATAAAATATAATTAAAAAAAAAAAAAAAAATCTACACTTTAAAACTTCCTCTACTGTTATTTTGATTATACACTGTTACATGCAAGAATTTTTGTTTTCCCTTTTTTTTTTCTATGTTCATTGATTGATGTAACTCATGAAGTGTCTTGTATCAAAGATCTTGTTTTATTTTTTGATAATTTCTTGTTATGTGAAATTATGAGGAAAGAAATAAAATATCATTAAAAAAAAAAATTAAAAATCAATCTTCGTAAATTTAGCGCATGCGCAATCGAAACTCGGGCAGACACTTATTCGACAACGACCCTGCGAAATTACTTGAAATATGTTTATGTACCTATTATGGACATGCATTATGGCTCAAGACATGGGCACACAGAAGATTTTTTTATGTTGGGGACCGGGGTAGAATGCAATAAATTATTGAAAATTTATTGCATTTTATTTTTATTCTGTTATTTATGGAAACTGCCCCCTACCCTAGCCCCCGCTGCGTACCCAGCCATGGTTCAGTGACAAAGCAATGGCCTCGTAACAGTGAGGCCCCAGGATCAACACCGTATCGATCTGGTGTATTAGTGCCCTTTTGTGGGGAATTAATCCTCATTACTGTCATTTATGACTTAAGGGCATAGGTCCCCTAGTTGATAAACATAGTAGCATATACATGCTTAAGCGGTCACGCAAAACACACATTGGCAAATTATGATTCAATAAAATCTGAGAATGTATACTATTATCTAGATCTAGTTTTTTAAAATTATTTTTAAAATAATTCCATAAATTGGAATTAAAAAAAAAATATTCCACCGTTATGAGCGACAGTGTATAATAGGATTATCATCACCACAATCATGGTTGCTTTAACTTTGTTGAGAGCGAATAAGCAAAGAGCTTGAAACTACTATCAGTTCTCAACTCTGTTTGTTAAACAGAGTAAAATTCACTCAACCCGGGACCCCAAATTTGCCTTTGGATGGTCTTTTACAACTTAAGTGAGAATAATCATCTATTATACACTAATCAATACGATTATAAATAGAGAATCAAGGAAATCGATACGCTAATAAGCAGTTTTGGCACAATTATGTATTTTTAAAATTAAATCTCATAGTACCGTATAATGATGGAGATACTCTTTTAATCGTTATGCTTATTATACTGATCCTTTACTTAGATACAAAATAATAACGGATTGTTTTATGTTTGACCTTGTTTTATAAATATTATAAAGATAACGAGATTATGAAGCCACTGTTACAGGGATGATATTTACAAACAATAAACATTAAGAGTCATTTTCTGTTTACAGGTTTAATACTCAATATTAAATCAAATCGTGTCATTGCTTTAACATAATATGTTGTTAGAGGTGTATCTACATACATATAATATCTAAAAGTCATTCTCGAGCATAGTATCTCCTTATATCATCTCAAGTTCACCTTCCTTGCCCTTAATTTACCCCTCGGTCTCACCTTATTGTGTGAAGCGCCTTTCCTTCCTCCTTGCACCCCTTTCCCCCATAATTACGCCACTGCTCATTACTCTTATCCAGGGGGGGGGGCCTTTACTGAAATGGGAGTGATCTTTGGACTCTCTTCAGGAGTAACGGTTACCTTAATCCCTGTCGTGACCAATAAGTACACAGCGCCCTCTGAGTTGGTCAACGCGTTTGACTTGCACAGATTCTTGCTTGAAGTCTACCATCGGGATATTTCTTCGAGTTATATAATTATTTACCTTTAAACGAAATAAGTTTTGTAATATAGCCCTATGATGTTGATCTTTTTTCAAACTATAATTATGATTTTCCGGATTAAATTTATTTTCATCTGATCACAGTGTTTTGATTGGCACTTATTAAAAGGGATTAGGAGACATGGATCAATATAAAAGGGTCACCTCTCAAATTGGAATAGGGGGCAATTAGCAGAGATGAGAAGGGGGGAACTGTAATAACGAAAAGATGGCATACAAATGAAAACAGGCACTTGGCAAAATGAAAGGTGAGAATTGATAAGGTGCATTTATGAGAGGTAAAGGGGCACTTATCGGGGATGAAAAGGGTGCACTTCTCGTACCTGAAAAGGGGCACTTAAGAGAAAGAAAATTGGGCACCTATCACAAAGGAAAATGGGCATCTGTCAGATTTCATTAGAGGCATTTATCTGGGGTGTGAGATCCATGAAATATTTATGAGTGAGAAATCCTACCCCTAAGGAAAACAAAATCATACACATTTAACTTGTAATGGCGAGAGGGATTGGTGAGATGTGCGTGGGTGAACGTTTAGGTTAAGCGGAAGGATCACAAGTGCAAAGGTTCAACATAATACTTCCTGTTATGAATGTCAGTGGGAATTTCCACTCGATGAAATGAAACCTCCTACAACTGCATTGCTGAATGAAACATTGTCATTCGCTTCTTACTGAAAGCATAGTCGCCGTTAGAGCTACTTCGTAACGTAAGTGCTAAAGAAGAAGCGTAAAGTAATTTCATAATGGTGTACCAGGTAGACCCTATTAATCATGGAATGCATTATTTTAAACATTTTTCAGTACAATAATAGCCAGTTAAGTATTTACAAAATATTTCACACTTTTGATTGAGTTGGCCAATTAATTCACCGATTTGTTTTTTTCCTCAGGTCGTGTGCTTGAGTTGTCAGTGATGGCTACTTCCTTGAAACAGGCTGTTCACAACTTGCATAAGAATCTAGAGTGTCCTGTCTGCCTAAGCTTTTTCAAGGAACCCAAGATCCTGACCTGCTCCCATACCTTCTGCAAGGCTTGTCTTGAGACTCTTCTGGAGTCTCGTGGAGAGCTGTTGTGTCCTACGTGCAGGGAGGAGACTTCGGTTCCTGGAGGAGACGTGGGTAGACTGCAATCAAACATAACAGTCAGATCACTTGTTGAAGATGTGGAGACCCAGGGCCAGGTCTGTACCAACTTTAATCAAGAAAACGAATCATTTCAAAGAAAATGGAACAAATGTCGAAAACATCCGAGCTACGATGAAGAATGTTTTTGTCTTAACTGTAACAAGTATGTCTGCAGCATGTGTGGCTTATTAGAGCATGCAAAGGATGCTCACACTATCCCGGAAGCAGACGTACATGAAACCGAGCAAAAGAATCACGTCGAGAAACTTGCATCTAAAGCGGATGCAAAAATATGCAACGTTGACAAGTATTTTACTTTCATCGAAGACCAGCGTAAAAGGCTGCACAACGTACAGGAACAACTCAATTGTGAAATAGATGCAACTTTTGAGGAATTAGTTGAGAAATCGAAGGAAAGAAAGAAGGTGTTGAAAAATGAAGTTGGGCAGAAGCTAGGGAAACTTAAATCTTCATTGGGAGACGCGGAGAAGTCGATTCGTAGCAGATAGACCAGATTAAGAAGGCTCTGGACTTGGTTTATAAGTATAGTCTTAATTTTCCTCTCCAGACAGAGTCTCTAACCTCACATAAAGCGACGTGTGTACAGCTGGAAGAGCTTTTGAACCGGATTAGGCCAGATGAGGAGCTGCCCAGAAGAACTGCTGAGTAAGGTGAAAGAATTGGCTTCATGAGTCAGGGATCGGATGAACTCCGGTTGGGCCAACTAACACATACCATGGAAGTCCCTGCTCATACAAAGTCTAAATGGGTTCTGCGCACTGAAGTTCCACTGCCTGCTGGAAAAAGTGGGAGTGGGATGGTACTATCACCTAACAATGAGATGGCTGTTGGTTGTTACGAGGGAGGAATATTCATATATCCTCCTGAGGGAATCATACAAGATACCGTTCTGAAATCGGTAAATGTTGGTGCCTTACAGTTCATGCCTGATGGTGGATACGTCATAAGCGACACTCAAAACAGAATTTCCTTGTACACAGAGCTTTGTGAAAAGCGTGATGTAACGTTTGAGACAATGGATGTTGTGAATGGTAGATATGGCGGTCTCACTGTAGGCCGGAATGGACTGATCTTCATAGGTAACAGTGATAGCCAGAAAATACAGGTATTTAAGCCAGAAGGGGGAAGGCAATAAGAGAGATAACGTGTCACGGATTTGAACCATGGGAGATGTTTGCGATGCCATCCAGTCAAGCGATTGTCGTTAAGAGTATATGTACTACCAGCTATCAGTGTCATGTATATGTGATCACCAATGTGTCGGGTGCTATCATTCACAGCATCAGCAAAGCTGATGGTTATATCCCTTTCCTTGCTGTGTGTCAGGATGATTCAGTTACCATTGCATGGATGAAGCGTGATCAGGGTCTGCTGAGCATCGTTCATTACACAAAAGAGCTCAAACACATCAAAAACATTCTCACTGATTTCAAGATATCGAATTCATATTATGGCTTTTTGCAAGCATTCAAGACGGGAGAGATTGCTTTCTGCACTAATAATAGGCTTTACATCTTCCATGAGACATGGATGTGAATTTAAGTTTTGCAGATGAAACGTGGATTAACACACTTACAAAACTCAACCATTTTAAATTGTTATTCGGTCAAATGGAATAAATGCACCGTATAAATATTATCTGCTCTTGCCTGCATGGTCTCCGTTGTCACAGCTCATAATTGTCACCAACAAACACCAGATAAAAATATATATTCAGGCACCTCAATGTCTGAATAGGAGGATATATGGGGCACCTCTTTGCCCATATCATGATGAGATGATGGTTCATATAATGTCGGAACTTTAAATACTTCCAGATTCAGTCCTTTCAGTGCCCCTGCCTTGCCAGCCTCTGCCAAAATGTAATGTATAGGCGCCACTCTTCAAGAATGCTATCGTAATGTTGACCGATTTCGTTATGCCGTCGACAGTAGACTATGTCACGTTTACGCTTATGAAATATCTAGGCGTTGCGCTCATTATTGCAAATTTCATTAATTTTATAGACAGATGTAGGTAGATAATCAAAATCAAAGACGAGGGTAGGGGGTATAACACCTTTTAATCGACTGAACGTATACATTGCAAATATAATACACAGGCATGCATTCCCGCTATTACGGGGGATGAGCAGCTGCCTCCTTCCAATGCTATTTGTGATACTGAAAAGATTCTCTGTGTTAATGGTAGTGGCAACGTAAGCAAACTATTGTTCTGAAAATATTACAATGTATCCGAAAACGTGTGTTTTGAAATATGCAAGGGATCATAAATGTGCAATTCATCCAAGGTTGTTTACTTATTTCATACATTGGTTATCATGGTAAAGGCATAATTCTATATATGTTTCTAACCCTGTTTGTTTGTTTCATGGAAATTTGTATGATTTAGGACATTATCTATTTTTATATAATTATTCATAATTGTTTACCGTATATGTGGGTAAAAACTTTATAAAGGGCCTTATTCTGCACAATCCCTTATTTCCGTACCTTCCTCTATCTCTCTGTGCTTATCAGGCATTTATAATTAATTTATTCATTCAGTCATTCATTTGGCTAGGTTTATTGAAAGAAAATTCTTTGTAAATCAGTCTAAAGACTGATACATTCAAACATTTACATATTTTTATCGTTAAAAATTATATTTAAAAAAACAGTATATTGATAAGGAATAAAAATTAAGATTAGAAAGGGATAAGAATTGTGTAATATATCGCACCTCAAATTTATTATAAACATGAACAAATCTTACCAATTATAAAGACAGAAAACGACAAATTAATCGTAACACGGTTGGGAACTCGACAGAGAGAAGAGAGAGAAAAGATGGGGGATCTTTTGAGGAAAGGTAAAAGATTCAAGAGTGCCATTTCATTTGTTCTTCGTTTACATTCGAATCCTAATACACGCAGCTTAATGATTAACTTTATTTTTATTGGGCATATATATGTATATATATTTATATCGTTACAAAAATATTTAGAAATGCCTGTACTATGTGCGTTGCAAAGTAAACAGAGTAAATAATAGATACCGATGATTTAGTTTGAAACTATAGAACATATTTTACATCGTTACACTATACTGGTAGCAAGGAACCCCTGATGTATCAAGTGGAGGGGGAGAAGAGTTATAGTCTATAGCGAAACGTTGCGAATTTCATGTTCAATTTAAATTCAATTTACTCATTAAAAGATTAATTATTTCATGTTATATTGATTTGCTTTATGTACGCTTAAGCTGTTAGACTTGTAATGTTGCTGTATATAAATAAACTATTTGAGCTATTATTTGTCGCATATGCATTTAATGTATGTTCGTTATCCATTTAAGTTTTTAAGAATTCATAGTTATATTTTGAATTGGAAAATAATTCAGTGTATTACACCTTATTTTTTACTACATGTATCTTGTTATTCTGATATGCATTAAAGTTAATTCCCCCTTCCTTATTAGGTTTATGATTCTTTCATAGAAGATTACTTAACTTACTTTATCATCTTTGTAACAGTATAGAGACATCCCTGCATTGATGCGCTATAAAATCAAAATGATTATTATGATGAAATTATGTCAGTTATCATCTTCCTTTCAAATTATGTTACATAATTATTTCATGTTCAATTCAATTATATTTTTCAAAGGAAATAGAAGGAATAAATTTAAAGTATGAATTTGGTCTCTGATATGTACTGAAAATAGTCCTTTGTCCAGTGTCATTAGTATGATGGAAAAACAATTCAAAAAGAAGTGAAAAACCGAGTCATCAATAAAGAATACATGCAAGGAATTTACTATATGTATTGAGCATTTACCTCAGACTAAAGATCGAGGAAATATAGAAAATTTGAATAATCATTGTTCAACCGAAAAGACCTTATCCTCAAATTACCGAGTCATCAAGTTGAAGAACTGTTTTTTTTAACAATAATAATAATAATGTCGAATGAGCGGGATGGTAACATCACCAGACAATGGGATAGCTGTTTGTTGTGACGTGGGAGGAATAGTCGTATATTCTCATGAGGGCATTATACAAGATACCGTTCTGAAATCTGTTAACGTTAGAGCGTTGCACTTCCTGCCTGATGGTGGATATGTCATACGCGACACTAATAATAGAATTTCCTTGTACACAGAGCTTTGTGAAAAGCTTGATGTAACGTTTGAGACGATGATTAATGCGAAAGGTGTGGGTGGAGGTCTCACTGTAGGCAAGGAGGGGCTGATCTTCATAGGTTACAATGAATGCCAGAAAATACAGGTATTTAAGCCAGAAGGGGGGAAGGCATTACGAGAGATAACGTTTGAGGGATTTGTACCACGCCGGATATTTGCGATGACATCCAGTCAAGCGATTCTCGTTACTCATTTGTATGAGTACAACAACGTACACGTGATCAACGATGTGTCTGGTGCTATCATTCATAGCATCCGCAAAAAAGATGGTCGTATCTCTTACCCTGCTGTGTATCAGGATGATTCAGTTATCATTGCATGGGTGAAGCGTAATCGGGGTCTGGTGAGCATCGTTCATTACACAAAAGAGCTCAAGTACATCAAAAACATTCTCACTGATTTCAAGATAACGCAATCATTTGGTTACATTGGCTTTTTGCAAGCATTCAATACGGGAGAGATTGCTTTCTGCACTCTTGATAGGCTTTACATCTTCCATGAGACATGGGTGTAAATGTTAGGTTTGTAGATGAGACGTGGAGTTGAACAAACTTACAAAACCCAACCATTTTAGATTGTTATTCGGTCAAGTGGAATAAATGCACCGTATAAATATGATCTACTCTTGCCTTGTCTCCATTTCCACAGCTCATGATAGTCACCAACATACACCAGATACAAATATATGTTCAGGCACCTCGTTGTCTGAATAGGAGGCTATTTGGGTACCTCGCTGCCTAATAATTAGGATATATGGGGCATATCTTTGCCCGAATGATTATGAGATAATGGTTTATCGATTGTGGAACTTGAAAACTCCGGGATGCAGTGCTTTCAGTGCTCCTGCCTTGCCAGACTTTGCCGAAATGTGATTGAAATCAATGAGTCGGTCTATACTCCGCTCTCTTATAATATGCTATTATAATGTTGACCGATTTCATTTTGCTGTCAGTACTTAAACCATGTAACGTTTACGTTTATGGAGTATGGAGGCGTTGCTCTCAATTTTGCAAATTGCTTTTATTTCATAGACAGATGTAGGTAGATAATCAAAATCAAAGGTGAGGGGAGGAGGTAGCAAACCTTGTAATCGACTGAAAGCATACATGGTAGATATAATACACAGTCATGCATTCCCGCTATTACGGGGATGAGCAGCTGCCTCCTTCCAATGATATTTCTAATACTGAAAAGATTCTTTAAGTGTTCATGGTAGTGGCAAAGTAATTAAGCAAACTATTGTTCTCAAAATATTACAATGTATCTTAAAAAGTTTGTTTTAAAATATGCAATGTATTATAGATGTGCAATTTGTCCAAGTTTGTTTACTTAAAACATGTCTACGTAATCATGGTGAAGTCATAATTTTTTGTTTGTTTCTTCCTTTGTTTGTTCCAAGGACATTTTCATAATATAGGACAGCATTTATTTTTCTATAATTATCCATAATTGTTTAATACAATTTTAT